TGCCATTTGGCTTCAGGAGAAAGCGACTGTGGAGGCTGGATGAGTAGCTGAAGTTCTAAGGAGGGATCCAGCAGGCTGCCTCTCGCTTTTGGCAACCAACTTACATTTGATTTAACTGAAGTAAAAGCATATGGTTCCTGGCTATGAAGAGGTGGTAAATTACAGTTCATCCCTGTCCATAGTCACAGCTAAGAACAAATAGTTCACATAATTTGTACTCCTCCCTCTTCACACTTGAGCAATTAAAAAAAAAACTGTTTAAAGAAAAGGAAAGCGTTAAATGTGGTATTTATCCACGGGATGCTGTTTTGGTATTGAGAGTAGTCTCTTGTGTGGACTAGTTATGCACTTAGTAAGGCAGGGGGCTCCTTAGAACACATGGCAGGACATTGGTCCCCAGGTGCCCCTCAGCTTCAGAGACTGGGCTGGTTGGTCAGTCACGGCGGCCAATCATCCCTCCACCTGCTCAAGTTGGCTCCTGGAAAGAGCTTGGCCTCTGGGGCTTGGAGCATTCGTGTACCTGTTGGATCCAGCTGCCTCATGAAAGGAAAGGGACATGTGATGAGGAGGCTGGAAGCTTGGCTTCTGACGTGTTAGTGTGTGGGTTTAGAACTTAGTGTCACATATGGTGTCTTCATTTCGCCATTGTAAATGAACTTGACACCCTAATGTCACATGAACTGGCTGTCTGGCTATGAAACCACTTCTTAAAGAGTAGTCCGATCCTCCTCTGTGCTACAGATTCATGCGTGCCTGTAAGAGCATGTAGGGTATTTCTCTTGTATGTATCTGTCCCTGCATCACCCCCACCCACAGTGAGTTAGTTCTTCAAGAGAAAAACATTTGTTTCTTAATCACCCACAGCACACTGCCCGGTGCTGTCGGCTGGCACAGTGTTTGGGATCGGGTAGATGCCCAGCACTCAGAAGCACTGCCGCTGAAGCAGGCCTTTGCTCCTGTGTTTTTTCTACACACTGACTCCAGGGTTTCTGGCATACCCTGTTTGCCTGTGCCTAACGGGGCTTGTTTGGGTTCTGTGGCCCAGATGAGGACATTGAATTCAAACCACCTGAGTCATAGACATAATTTACATCTATTGGTAGTAACGGACGTGACTTACAAAGACCGCTAGGGGGCCCGGGGAGATGGCTCAGCAGTTGACACACTTGGCACTCTAGCAGTAGGGTCCTTGAACTCAGATTGTCAGAACCCACATCAATGCTCCACGAACACGGTAGCCGGCGATTCCAGCCTCAGTCTCAGAAGTCAGAGATGGGGGTATCGACAGCAAGCTGCCTAATGAGGCCAGTGATATCTATGGGCTCTGGGTTTGATTGAGAGGCTCTGCCTCCAAGTGTAAGGTTGAAGAATGGTCAAGGAAAATTCCGGACATTAACCTTACCAACCACACATATGTGAGCGCGCGCACACACACACACACACACACACACACACACACACACACACACACACACACACACGGAAAGACAAAGTCACAAAGAAGAAAGAGATGGTAGAGGGAGAATCTGGAAGGGAGGGTGAGATACACTTTGGGATGCAGACCCATTCAAATGGACCCTTTTGGAGGAAAGACCCTTTCTTCTGCCAGGAGTGGGCTTCTGGAAGGCTTACGAACTGGGGAGGAGAGAAAGGGAGACTCCTGAAGACCACAACAGTGAGTAGAGCCATCAAGATCAGTCACAGAGGTCACAACCAGACCCTGGGGATGATTGTTGTGACTGTAATCAAAAGTAAACTGTGCTTCTACTTATCTGATTAAACAGAAGTGAGCTAGCTCCTGGGAGGAGGGCACCCCAAACTATGCTGGCTTTCATCTGGCTGTGATGTAGCAGGATTATGTGACTTCATTAATTTAACCACTCTGGGCCTTGGTTTGCTAAACTGTGAATGAAAGGTATAATCCAGAGCCTTTAATACACCTTGCCTCCAACTTTCTGTGGTCAGAAATCCAGCATCCCTATGGATTAGGGTCCTCACACTGGCTCCGAAGAGCAAGGAAAGCCACCCCCAGAGCATCAGCTGTGTTAGACGTTTCCTCCTAGCCTCGTCAACATTGCAGCTCTGAGGCTTTCAGGACCAATCAATACCCACCATTTAGGTGGCAAAGCTGCCAAGCCAAGCTGTAAATGAGCCACATCCAGGCTGGCATGCTACCAGAACCATCTCCTGGGGTAAGCAGAGGGTAGCCACAACCACAATCCCACCACCAGACCCTAGAAGCCCCCCATGCCGGGGCTTGGAGCCTTCCAGAGTAGTGTTGATAGATCTCTGTCTACAGGTCTGCGCAAGGGAACAAGATCCTCATCAGACCTGTCCCACAAACAGGAGCAGCTGCAGAAAGTTCTGGGACTTCCCAGGCACCCCCTCATTGGACGGGTGGCTTTTTAGTTCATTTGTGCTTTGCAAATTGAACACAGACAGTGGGGTTTTTTTTGTGTGTGTGTGTCCAGTGTTCCTTACCCCTGTCCTAACTTCCTGTCCAGGCTGTGGCCTGCCTTCAGGCCATTTCTCTCCTGTTACCAGCACTGGATCTAGCCAATCTTTGATCTGATAATTTTATTTACACCGTGGGAGGAAAAATCCACACAGCTGGTGTTGGACTCTGTGGTAACTATTGTACACAACCTGTAAGAGGAAGACACATGATAGCCAGAGTCAGGTATTTTCATTAGGAAACAATTTGGTAAAGAGGCATTCCCATTAGTCCCACCCACTCATGTGCATATGCGCATACAGTGCCACAGTGTGTGTGTGTGTGTGTGTGTGTGTGTGTGTGTGTGTGTGTGTGTGTGTGTGTGTGTGTGTGT